GACAGAGGGTGAAGAAGACAGAGCTAAGCCAGAAAGCTGGCGTCTCATGCACCTCAGAGTGGCACAAGCTTCAGGAGGATGGATTGTTAGAAAACTAATGCAACCTCGGGCTGTAACCACAGAGGTAGTAGCCCTAGAGCAGAGGAGGGGATGTCACCCCACTCTACATAGTCAGGACATCCCATATCCTCAATCTGTCCCCCTACTCCCCACCACATACAAGAGAGCATGTCCAATTGGAGAAGAGTCAAAGATGGACATGCAGGATTTGGGTGAGGGAAGTGAGTTTGAAAGCCAGCCCCTGGCAGGGACATTTGGAAGAAAGGAATGGATTCAGAGAGACAGTCATAGCTCCTTCAGGTATAAAGGAGAGAGCTAGTGCCATGTGCAGATGGATGGATGGGTGAGTGTATCCATCACCCATCTGTCTATCCACCTAGGCATGCATGCTTATAGTGTCCATCCATGCATGCCCCCATACATATGTGCCTTCATGTGCCCGTCCATGCACCCACCCATCCATCCATCTCTCCACCCATCCATCCATCCATCCATCACCCACCCATCCACCCACCCATCCATTCATCCATCCACTCACTCAACCATGCATCCATCCATCTATTCATCCACCTTCCCACTTACCCATCCACCCACCTGTCCATCTGTTCATTCATTTGTCTATCCATCCATTCATCCACCCATCCATCTATCCATCCATCCATCCATCTATCCATCCATCCATCCATCAGCTTATGCACTGAGAGCCAGGGTGGCCTAATGGTTCAGAAAGCACCCCAAGATGCTTCACAGGGCCTGTCAAATGTTCACTGCCCTCCATGACTGTCAATCACCTTGTCATTAGTTTGCATAAATAGACGTGTTCCCACGTGTAAGATGGGGTTTGAGCGCTTCTCCGTCAGAGGAGGTTGCACGCAGCAGGTGAGTGCCAAGTCCACATTAACAGATGTGTTTGTGGCTTGACCATTCAGCCCAGGGATTTGGTGAGGGGCAGTTTCTCTGCAAATGGGCATAACCCCTGCCTCCAAGCCACCTGGCACCTCTTGTTGGGGGCAGACAGGACTCAAGCCTGTCACCCGAGGATGTTGCAGCTCCTGTCCTGCTGCCTGGCTTTATTATGGGAGCTGGTCTGTTCTTTGTCCCCCCATCCACGGTTCCCTGGGGCAGGGAAGAAGCCTCACTGTCCTCTGCTGAGGTGGGAGGAACCTGGGAGAGCTGACAGTTCCTGCACGGCCCAGCAACCCCCCCACTCCCCGAGCTGCAGGAATAAGCGGAGCTGTATGGTGGAGTAATTTGCTAATTCGCTTAAGTAACACCCCCAGTCAGAGACGTGACATAAATACATGAGTGTGGGCTCCGGCCCCCCCAGTTTGGGCAGCGCTCAGAGCTGGATGGATGGGTGATGTGAAGTGGAAATGGGGGATGAATCAGAGCCTGAAGGCAGCCGGTGGCCACCCCGCCCACCCCACCAGGGGCTTGTGCTGCCTCCCTGTGGCGGCGTTTTGGGGGAGGGGCACCCGAGGGACCCCAGGCTGCCTCCATGGTCTGCTGGCCTTGAGGAAGTCTGAGCCAGAGGTGTGGGAGGAGCTGGATCAACATGGAACACTGCCCCTGCTCCGTGCTGCAGGGCCCAGGCAGGAGGCCTCTCAGGCTCACGGTCCTCAGCTGCAGAGGGTGCCTAACAAAATCTGCCCCAAAGGTTCTGTGCCTCAGCCTCCAGCAGGGCGGCTGCCCACATGGGCCCCAAGGACTGGCAGTGCATCCTGCTCTGTGCATGACCTTCCAGGCAAGATGGCCAAGAGCTGTCCCTTGAGGGATGTGGCAGGTTGCTTAGTACCCCTGGACCAAGCCTGGCAGGCTGGGCTCTGATGGACAAGTGGAGGATGAGGAGGTGGGGACTCAGAGGGGCTTGGAGGGCTCATCCCCATGGCCTGATTGGAACCCCCTTCCCAGGTCATGGGAGTGGGCAGTGCTTTTAAATAAGTGAGGTGGACTCAGTGTGAGACAGTAGAGACTGGTGGTGACTAGGGTGGACTGGACGTTTTTATCCCGTCTCAAGGGGACCCAGATACACTTCCTGAACTGGGCCAGGATTGCCCACTGCTAACATTTATTTATTTATTTATTTTTAGAAAACAGAAAGAGTGAAGTTTTATTGGGAATCTCTCAAATTGTTAATGTTGGCAACAAATTCAATTTAAAAAAAAAAAACCACCCAAAATGTTGTGCCAAACAAACTATGTCTGTGGGCGGTTCTGGCCTGCAGGCTTCCAGTTTGCAAATTCTGGCCCAGGGAAGCTGACTTCTCTTTTCTTTTGAACATTGAAGTTTTTGTGCATTTGCATTCAGTATCTTCTGTGATACCAGAACTGTCATGCAAGGCAGGCACTACCATCCCCATCTTACAGGTGAGAGAATCGAGGCATGGGGCTAAGTGGTGTGGTGGGTTCGTACTGGAGGCAGTGTGAGGGGAGCTGGACCAACCTCTGGGTCTAGGGCCCAGGTCTGTTGCCATCATGGCAGCCTCCACCTATAAAGACAGCTGGGGTGACTGGGTTTTCTGCCTGCTTTGCAGAGACATCTTGCTCGCCTCTGGGCTGCCCTGTCCACCCCCCTTGGCCTGTCCCCCAGTGACCAGGCTGGGAGTCAAGTGGTCCTCCAGGAGCTGTTTGCCATGGCCATTGGACATGTGGCTGAGCTGATTGTGCAGCTCCCCACTGGGCAGGCATGAAGGAGTTTGTGACCGACTGGCTTCTGGCTCTTCTGTCACATTGCAGATAGCACACGACAGTGGTCATGGTCACAGTGTGGCATTGCATGACCATAAACTCACTCTGCCCTTCCTGGAGTTCACCTGAGGGCTGGAAACAGGCTCCTTCCCAGAATGCATATGGCGGCTGAGTTTCAGCACCGTCCTCCGAATATGGTCCTATATTGTGAATATCAACTTCCAAGACAGACAATTGGCAGAACTTGAAGCAGAGGCATTTCTGGAAGTTGGTTCCAAGGGAGTGTTCACGCAGCCAAAGCGATAGAGTTCTACATCAAGATCAAGGGCAGGAAAGGCTGCTAAGTTACTTCTAAGGATAGACCAAGGCGTCCAGGCCACTAAGTCACTTATGCCTGGGAGGAGTGATCTCAGTGACCTCAGAAAGGGGCTCCATGGAGCCCAGGGAGTCTGAGAAGGTCCTTAACCCCCGGGAAGGGACCATCACCAGGCATGCCCACCTTTATCAGAGGGAAAACCAGCATTCAGAGAAGTTAAGTGGCCTCCCAGTTGAGGACAGAACCAGTTCATGAGCTTCAGAAGCTTCATAGCTGGACACGTTGCCTTCCGAGCAACCATGGAGGTCATGGTCGCCCAAGGACAAAGAGGATCCGTTGTGAGGTGTTGATGTCTGCTAGCTCAGGGGGCCATTAGGGGACAGCGCTTCCCTTTCTACCTGCTCCAGGGCTCGGAGGACCTCGTCGATCCGGGGGCAGGGCCCCTCCGCAGGGAGGGGCTGGAGCAGCAGTCACAGCCCTCAGGGCCCAGGGTGAGGCTTTGCACGCTGGCCCTGGCAAGGGCCTTTCCAGGCTTTCCGTGAGGAGGTGGGCAGTGCTCTGGTCACATAGGCGTGTTGGAATCTGGCTCGGCCACCTCCCATCCACATGTTCTTAGCATGTGACACCCAGCCTCCTGAACCTGTTTCCACATGTGCACTGTGAGGAAGATGTGAGAGCCCAGTCGGTGCCTTGTGTGCAGTACGGCCTCACATTTTCCCACACCAGAAGCCCCCTGGGGTGGGGGTAAGCAGCCATTTGTACTGAAGAATTCAGGACGGAAGTGACTTTCTTGTTGAAATAAGTGCATTAGTAAAGCTTAGTGTTTCTGGTAGAGTTTCTTCACAAACCTGTTCAAGTCATTTAGATGGGCCATCAAATGGCCAAAATTATTCTTAGTGAAATGGTTTTGGAGTATCACCGTTTTCCTGTCTGGACATCCGTCTCCTCACATGCCCCTTGCCTGACCACCTGGGCTCGGCCCACCTGGGTCAGGCCGGGAAACAAGCTTGGAATTCCAAGTTCACCTTTGTCATTTCACTTTTTATTCATGTCCTATGGGACCATGACCATTCTCTCCAAGCCCACGGGAACCAGCTGCTGGGTCTGGTGGGAGGTGGGGGTCAGGGACCCACCTCTGGTGTTGGGCTGGCTCTGGGATGGTACAGGTGGCATTTGCTGAGGATGAGGGGCTGGGGTAACCTCAGGCTTGGGATACCAGCCTGCCAGGTGGCTGTCCAGACTCTAGCCCACAGCCAGCCCCCTTGGAGGGCACATATACTCCTTTTTAGGGCTTCTCATATGCAAAGTGGAACCCCAGAGAAAGTAAGGCAAAACACAGGCCTGGATTTTGCATGTAGTAAGTGAGAATGTCACTGCTATTAGTTCAATGCACAGTTTACACAGGTATTGTGTTTCGATTCTGTTTGGACCTTGTTTTGACTGTGAATTCCATACTGGTGCAGGAAGGCAATGATATTTTCCCCAAGTGAAGGCTCTCTGGAGGTTTGACTGGGCTCTGCAAAGAATTTGTAGTTCCTGTTAGGATGTAGAGGTTGGAGGGCCCAGGAGCCCAGGCGGAGGGAGCATGGTGCAGCAAGGCTGGTGGGAGCTTGGTCTGGAGTCCCGGGTGAGGTCTTCTTTCAGTGGAAAACAGACAGGAGAGAGGGAGGCAGAGAAGTCCTGAGAGTGGGGCCAGGCACCTGCAGCTCAGAGGCCTGGGAGGAGCCTGTACCCCTCCCACTGGTCTCGAGGGCTGATGGCTAGTGGAGGCCTGGGCAAACAGGGCCCGGGTGACAGTGAAGGGGCCATTGCCCCCTCAGATCCAGGGCACTGGTCGGGGTGGACTCTGGCAGTTCCCTCCCTCAGCAGCTCTGTGGCTGGTGGCTTTTGGAAGGGCCAACAGTGGCTTCTGTGCACCTGTCTATGTCCGCCTGCAGGCAGCCTGCCCTATGAGTACAAGATTGTGATCGCTGGCAACCATGAGCTGACCTTTGACCAGGAGTTCATGGCAGACCTCATCAAGCAGGACTTCTACTACTTCCCGTCCGTGTCAAAGCTGAAGCCGGAGAACTACGAGAACGTGCAGTCACTGCTGACCAACTGCATCTACCTGCAGGACTCAGAGGTCACCGTGCGGGGCTTCAGGATCTATGGCTCCCCGTGGTGAGTGCACCCAGGTGCCCATCTGGACCACTGTTGAGGGCGAGTCTGTGGTGGTAGCTCGAGTCCCCTCGTGGTGCTGGGGACATGGAGCTGAGGCTAAGTGCCAGGGGCTGTGGGGTGGGAGAAGCAGCAGGGAGCTCTGGATCATGAGGATTGGGACTGAATCTCACTCCCACCCTCTGTGTGGCCCTAGGTAGGTCACTAACACCCTCTGGGCCTTGGTTTCCCCATATGTAACTGGGGAAGGGTCAGCTATCTCCTCTGTCTCCCACACAGGGAGGTGCGATTATCTCCATTTCATAGGCGAGGAAACTGAGGCACAGGGAGAGAGAGGATTTTGCCAAACGTCACACAGCTAGGAAGTGGCAGAGCTGGGATAAAACTCAAGCAGTTAGCTTTCAGAACTCCTGCTTTCTGCTGTTCTCCTAAGCCGCCAGGAACCTTTCTCCAGGGCCCATCTTCTATACAAGAAGGTGCACAGGTGTGTGTGCGGGAACAGTTCATCAGCCTGACTGAGGAAAGCAGTCAGAATTCTCACAGGTGGCCAAAGTCCCGAGTACTGTATGGAGATGAAGTTGTTTAAAACAAATAGGCACTTAGCAAACCCTGTTCTTGGTGAGGACGCAGAGTGCCCAGACCTCCCTCTGAGCTTGCAGGCTGGGTGGTGAGCGAGGTGAGAGTGGGTGTGACTGTTCAGTACGATGGCTGGAAGCCCTGTGATGACAATGGTGGTGGTGATGGTGGTGGCAATGAGACAATGGTGATGGTGATGCTGGGGATGGCAGCGTATGGTTTTTGAGCAGGGACTGTAAACTGGCCCCTGGACGAAAGGCTCTAGTAACATTCTCTCTGATCCTTATTCCGCCTGTGAGGACTTGCATATTATCCCTGTCCTACAGGTGGACAGATCGATTGACCCTTCAAGGCCCAGCTGGCAATGGCCGCAGTGTGGCAGCCACTGGCAGGGCGACCAGGGCAGCACACACAGCAGGGAGAGACCACATATGCTTCATAGTGTGGTGTGATCGAGAAGGATCCCTGGAGAAGGTGGGATGACCTGAGCTTTGAGGGAGGAGAAGGACACTCATGGGTAGAGATTCTGAGAGGCCATTTGGGAGTACAGGGGCCTGTGTGGGGGAGGGACTTCAGGAAAGCTGTGGCAAACACAGCGCATCTGGGGAGCCCCTGGGCAGCCTGGTTGACACCATGGTGGTCACAGGGTAGCTGGTGGCTGCAGGCGGGTTTAGGACCTGCCCCTCTCTTGCCAAGGTCTCCTTGTGGAGTGAGAGGGAAGCTGAGGAGGTTCTGGACTGTCTGGCTTTGCTGAGCTCCAGAAAGAACTTGCTGCCCTCTCCCTGTTCTCACGACCTTCAGTCCCAGTGAGCCCTCCCTGCAGGCTGCGTCGTCCCTTTGGACAATCAAGGACATGATAAGCTTGAGAGCAAGATGACGGAGGAGGCTGATTGTCACTCTGGGTCCCACCTCTCCCTCCCAGAGCAGCTCCGTGTACCTCACAGCTGGGCTCCAAAGAACCCTTCTGACAACCAGCGCCAGGTGTCCCAGGCCAGGGTGGGCCCAGCCCTGTGGCCCTTTACCCACAGAGGTCATGTCCTGGTGATGTGTCTGAGTTTCGGGTAAGGCTGCCTGTCAGCTTTGCTCTTGTCCATCTGCTCCAAGCTCCGGCCACTGGTGGTCCTCCCTGGTATGGGACATTACCGGCCCCTTTCGCTCCTGGCTCTCCCCCAGGGTCAGAGTACAAAAACTTCTTGACCCTTTACCACTGTGCCAGCTAGGTGCACGCACATCCCTGCCATGCTGGCCAGCACTGGGTAGCACTAGTGGGAGGGACCACAGGACAGAAAGGAGACCTGAGCCTTGGCAGTTGATTGGACCACGTCACCCTGTGCTAAGAAGGGTGTGATGAGACCCAGGAGGGCTTCCTGTTAGAGGAGGCTTTTGAACTGGGGTCAAAGGAGGCTTGGGGTAGAGAAGGCAGGGGATGACCTGCATTTCTGAGCTGGGCTATGCCCCAGGCCCTCTTTTTCATTAATAGTTCCAGGCTGAGTGTCTTCCCCTCTCTCTTCATCCCCGATGTGGGCCAGAGCTGGCATTCCGTGGAGCTCCCCTGGTTTCCGTGAGACTGGGAACAGGTGGTGGAGTTGAGTCCTGGCCTCATTTGCTGGGCAAGGGTCACTAACTTTCCAAGTGGTGGGAGCAACCATGGTGCCAAGCAATGAATTTGCCATGGCTCTGGTTGCCACCTTTCCCAGCGGGGAAGCTGGAACTCTGCCACGTGCCCTGAATGTGGGCCGCTCAAGTTGGGCCACCACCACTTTTTAGCTGTGACTTTGGGCAAGTGACTTAGCTTCTCTGTTCCTTCTGTGTAGTGGGGAAACCATCTACCCACATTACAGGAGGCTTGGATCTGGTGTCAGGTGAAGGTCTGGCCCAAGGGAGGCCCAGGGGGTGCCATGGTTATTACTTCTGGGGTGGTCGCGGCTTGGGATGGGACAGCTCCACTCCAGCTGGGGCTTAGGCTAACAGTTCCCCTTTTTTTAGAAGGGCGAGCAGAGGCCCAGGGCTCTGGTCTGGGTTCTTCCTGTCTCGGGGTGGAGGCTGCTCAGTGTCCTTTCCTGAACGCCTCTCGTGCGCCAGGCCTCGGTCCTCGGCAGAGTCTGAGGATGTGCAGAGCCACACTGGCTTCTTGGGGACACAGAGGCCTGGGGTTTGGAATGATGTCCTCACGACCTCACGCGTGAGCCTGTAAGTGATTATAGTGTGTTGGGCATGGGCGTGGGCCCTGGGGGCTTTGCGTGAATCCGCAGAGGCAGGTGCTGGCTTCTTGGGTTGCCATTCTTGTGAAAGGCAGGCAGGCAGCAGCCTGGCTTGCTAAGAGCTGTGGAGAGGCCTGGGAGCTGGGGTCTGGGAAGGCTCCCCATGGGGAGCACGGGGTGGGGGACAAAAAGACATCAGAGCCTAGGAGGCCAGACAAGGGCGTGGCAGGCAGAGGGAGCTGCCAGGCAAAGGCAGGAGTCTGGGGAGGGCACTGGGCATTGTGGGGACCGTGGTGATGAGTGGTTTCCACAGCCCTGGGCTGGTCATAGTAAGAGAGAAAGAACAGACGCCAAGTACTCAGAGCCTGGATCCCTGGGCCCTCAGCCATCACTCCTATCGTTTCTTCCTGCCAGGGTACTCAGAGCCAGGTCTGTGCACCGTGGTGTCCTGCAGGGTCCTCAGGAAAGGGAGAGGAGCCATCATCATCCTGAGGCCTCCTCGTGACTCCCCGCCAGGAGGGCGTTACAGACCCGGCTCCATTTTGTATGCATGTGTGCGTGCACACACTTGTACCTTGTGCCATACCACAGAGCACTCTCCTACAAAGCCAGGTGGCTTTTGGAGTGCACGTTCCTGTTGGTCACAGGTGACTTCTCTCCTTGTCCCCCAGGTCTCAGGCAGCCCTGGGAGCAGTTGTCCCTCTGCTGGCAGCATTCCTGGCCTGGTGAGCAGGTTGATAGCTCAGAGGTCAGGTCCCTGCCCTACCACCAAGCTGAGGTGGGACCTGGGACCAGCCACATGGCCTCCCTAGGCCTGGGCTTCTGGCTAGTAAGTGGAAAGCTGTTGTGCACTACCCTTCCAGGGCCACTCAGTGGAGAGGGATAGGCTCTCTCTAGTTATGAACATGGACACACCAGTGGGGGGGTGGGCAGAAGGGACACAGAAGAATGACAAGAGGCAGGTTGTCACCAGTGTGGGAAGACTCCCCCCGGCAGGAGCCTGGAGGAGAGCTGCCTGTCACAAGGGGTGTGTAAGCAGAGGTCTGTCAGGTGGGCCCATGTCCTCCCATCACAGTGGACGTCATACTCAAGGGAAGATACACTTGGGAAGGCAGTAGAGTGACCAGCTGCCTCAATGTGGAGAACTCCAAAGCAAGCTGGGAAGGAGAAACGGCAGGCAAACTCATGCTTACCACAGTTGACTTTTCTTTCTTTCTTTCTTTTTTTGATGGGACTGAAGTTTGAACTCAGGGCTTTGAGCTTATAAAGCAGACACTCTGCTGCTTGAGCCACACTTCCAGTTCATTTTGCTCTGGTTATTTTGGAGATGGAGGTCTTGTGAACTATTTGTCCAGGCTGGCCTCGAACCTTGATCCTCCCTATCTCAGCCTCTGAAGTAGCTAGGATTATAGCCGAGAGCCACTGGCACCAGGCCACAGTTACTTTTCCTGGAAGCATTGCCACCGAGTTCTGCTCCTGGGAGAATGGTGGGTCAGACCTGGATGGGTCTAACTTCTTTGGTGGGGCACATGCTTGGTGGCCCACCATGGCCTGTCCCCTCTGGCTCTGTGCTGGGGTCTGGACATGCTGGAACTGATCCAGTCTGGTGCTGCCATCCAAGCGTGCAGTCTGGGGTGGGTCCATGGCTGTAGATACAGCCTGCTCACCAAGCCCATGCACAACTGGGCTGAAGACTCAGTGCTTGTCTGTGAGTCCTTGCTCAGTCCCTTCAGTGTTCCCGGGATCAGGCACCATCAGGAAGCCCATGCTATGGGAGTTGCAGGAAGCAGAGAGAGAATAATTTTTTATGTGGCCATGTCCTATGAAATATTTGGGACATACTTATTCTAAAAATATTTGCTCCTTATCTTCAAATATAACTGGCCATACTGTATTTCATTTGGCAACCCTAATCCTGAGATAGCTTGGTTCTGCCTCTTTTTTTCTTTTAAAAGATTCTTAAAATGAAATTTTGTGTTATGAGCACTTTTTGATTTTCCGCAGAATTGAGTGGAAGGCACAGAGATTTTCATGTGCCCTCCCCATCTGCTTGTTCTTTGAACTTTATAAAAATGGACACAAACCGTATGGGTTACGTAGTGTCTTCTTTTTGTGAATATTATATTTTGAGATTCTTCCTGTTGCATGCTGCTGAAACTGGCTCTTCTCACTGTGATGTGGGTTTTCATCGAATGACAATAACACAATTTTTATGTTATCTGTTCT